ATTCTTCCTTTCTTCATTCCAACTCTTTTTCCTTCTTCTTATGAACATTTGTTGAGCACTTGTGAAAAGCTGAACACATTGCCCAGCCATGTTCGCTGACTTTAGGAATCTATAGCTTGGTGGCAGTAGTGGTGACTATATTTAGTGTGAGCTGGTGGAAAGAGGCTTAGACTTTATCATTTGAGCAGTGAGGACCCATTTTATCTCATCTGCAATAAGGATGAGGTGAATGGGATTATTTTTAAAATGAAACTCTTTGGACATAAATAAAAGAAAGCAGATTAAAGGTGGCTGAACCATGGGAAGACTCTTTGTATCTAATTTTGCATTCATGATTCTAATAATGTTCTAAGGTGAGAAGGACCTGAATGAGTATAGAGGCAAGGACATCATTTGGAAGGGGAGCAATGCAAGAAACACTTGGAAGAAGAAATGCCAAAACTTGGTAGCTATATATGAAAGGTGAAGGAAGGATAGGAAGACCCCAATGGTGGTGTGATGTTCTGAGTATGAGTTATGGGTATTGGAAGGCTATTGCTCATGTTAACAGAAATAGGAAGGGGCTGGCAGGTACATGATGGTTAAGGCTCTGGACTTCCACATGGATGACCACAGTTTGAGTCCTGGACCTGGGGCTTGGTTCCTTTTACTTTCTGGTCAAATTAAAAATAACAATAATAAATAAGTAAAATTATTCTTTAAAACATAGAAATAGAGAAATGGGATAGGAGAAGAAAATGATAAATTGAATTTTTAAATTTTAAATATGAGGTGCCAGTAGTTCTCAAGGAGAACTCTGAGCTTGAAAATGTATCATTGTTTCGTAAAAATTTATTACATGTTTATAGTCTTATGAATTGTTTTTTTAAAATCATTCTCTTTGCATTTAAAAATATACTATGCTGAAAAAGGGGTTATGTTCACTGATGTCATTTTTAAGTTTTTGTTTTTTCCTAATGGCCTGATTATTATTGTTGCATGATGTACATGATTTTATAGTTTGGCTTGATCCAAAATAGTTTGAGTCATAATGCACTTGTTATTAATAAAGAACAAGACATCAGTTTAACATTTGACTCAAGAGAACACAAATAGAAGGGGAAACATTGCATAGAAATGATGTAATTGGATGGCAAATGTTTTTTGAATAATGGCAATTTATGTAAGGTATTTGGAAAGATCACTTTATCATCATTTGTTATACTCCTTAAGTATAAATACCAAGAAAAGGTAATGACATTAAATGTTTAGCCTGTAAAATAATAAGAGATGCTGTTTTAAAAATATGTCATTTTTTTGGAATTAAAACAATAAAACAAGCTCATGCAGTGACTTACAAGGTCACTGAGTTACTAAAAGAAAACATTTCATAGTTTTACTTAACTCCTCTTCTCTCACATCTATCCAATAGCCAGAGTTAAAAGTTTGGAGTGAATATACTTCCATCCCTTCTTACCTTATTATGTAAATTTTGAGAAAGTTTGTTTTTGCAAAAATGGGATAAAACTATACATAAGACCTAAACTTTTTACTTAAAAATGCTTCATGAACATTCTTCCATATCAAAACACATAGACTAATTTATTCTTTTAACAGCTGCATACCATTCCATGATTTAACTATTCTTCTATTGAGAATTGTTCATTTAAATAGTTTTGAATTTAATAATTTTTTCATAAAAGCTTTTTATCTGCTGAATCATGTGGAATCATAATCTATCTTTAGATTTTGTGGAACTTCATGGTGACTGCACCGTTTTACAATCCAAATCTCACTAACAATGTATAAGTCTTCCAATTTCTCCTCCTCCTTCCAACACTTGTTATTTTGTGGATGTGTGTGTGTGTGTGTGTGTGTGTGTGTGCATTTATAATAGCCATCCTAATTAATGGTGTGAAGTGATATCTCATTGTGGTTATTAATTTGCATTTCCTAATAATTGGGCTGTTGAGCATTTTTTCATATGCTTATTGGACATTTGTGTATCTTTTTTGGATATTTATTCAAGAAAGTCTTTGATTATTTTTCAATCAGGCTATTTTTGTTGCAGTTACTGAGTTGTAGGAGTTTTTAAAATATATTTTGGATATTAATTAATCAGATAGGATTTGCAAATGTTTTCTCCCATTCAGTGTTGCTTTTTCACTGTGTTGATTGTGTCTTTTTTACAAGATGCTTTTATTTTTGATATAGTCCCATTTGTCTATACCTTTTACGCTATAGCCTGTGTTTTTTGTATCATATCCAAGGAACCATTGTCAAATCCAATGCTATGAAGCATTCTCCTTACCCGTTTATTTTTTCTTTTAGGAGTCTTATACTTTGGGGTCTTAATTTTATATTTTAATCCATTTTGAGATAATTTTTAAAAGAATTATTTAATTTCATTTATTTATTGTTATTCTTAAGTTTGATGAGAGAGAGCAAGAAAGGGAGAATGAAAAAGCAAGTCACCAGGTCCAGGACTCAAACCATGGTTCACCATGTGGGAGACTAGCATCTCAACCACCATACCACCTGCTGACCTGAGTTAATTTTTCTATGTCGAATAGTCTTAGCACGCTCATATCAAAGATCATTAAATTATGTACATAAGAGTTTATTTCTGGACTCTCTATTCACTAGGTGTATATA